GAGGGGAGAGAGGAGAGGATAGAAGAGAAAAAAAGAAAAGAGAGATGACCCAGCAGTTAAGAGAACCTGAGGCTTGATTCCCAGCACCTACAATATATCTGAAACTCGAGTTCCAGATGATCCTATGCTTCTTCTGACCTCCTTGGGCACCAGATAAACATGTGGGGGCACAGAAATATGTGCAAACAAAACACTCTTACATATAAGCTAAATATTAAAAAAAAAAAAAGAGTGCTGCTTTTACAGAGGCCCCGAATCAGGCTCCCAGCACCCACTGGGTCCACTAACAGTCACTGGGAAGCCCAGTTCTGGGGAATCTGACACTCCCCACCCCTGCCCCTACATACGAATGATTGAGAACTATAAAAATAATTTTTAAAAAAGCTTTGACATACAACCCACACAGTTTATCCACTTGGAGTGTGCTGGGCGTGCACTTGTATGAGTGAGGGCATGTGGAGGTGGGGGCTTGTGTCTCTATACTTTACTCTATACCTTGTATTTTGAGATAGGGTTTCTCACTGAACCTGGGGCTGACTCGGCTAGGCAAGCCGGGCAACTCGCTCTGGGGCTCTTCCTGTCTCTGACCCCTCAGTGCAGAGATGACAGGTGCATGCGGACACACCCAGCTTTTTATGTGGGTTCCAGGTTTCCAGCTCAGGCCCTCCTGCTAGTCCGCCAGGCAGGCACTTTACTGACTGAGCCATCTCCACAGCCCATGATCCTCCTTCTTTAAAACCAATAATCTGGACTGAGTTCCGTTTGTGTGCGCGTGCGTGCGTGCGTATGTACTCAAGTTTCTCCAGAGCTGTCTGCCTCCTTTTTCGGTCAGCCTTTCATTGGTAGGTCTGGAGATCCCTGGCTCACACAACTCCCCTGTGCTAGGACTCTAAGCCTGTGCTACCAGACCCAGTTTTTCACTGGAGTTCTGAGGACCAAACTCAGAACTCCATGCTTTCATAGCAAGTGCTCTCACGACTGAGCCATTTGCCCAGCCTGAATTGAGGTCTTAAGTTTTTAAAACTATTATTGTACGTATGTATATGTATGTATACGACTGGAATGGAGTGAGCACATGCGGGTACATGCACACCACCGCACAGAGCGTGGAGAACAACTCTGTGGAGCGGGTTCTAGAGACTGAACCGGGGTTTCCCAGCTCAGGCCGCAAGCGTCTTTAACCCGAGCCATCTCTCTGGACTCTGAACAGTTTCTGAACTTCTATATAAAATAAAATAGTTGCAAAGAACTGGACTCCCAATACCAGAAGAATGAACAATTTCCCAAAACTAACGATCTGTTTGGTGGTCTGAGAAGGAGGATATGAACCAGAGGCCTCCCCTGGAAAGTCCAGGCACATGGCTGCTATAAATACAGGGCAATCCGAGGTGTTTTTTCCACTTACAAAGGAAAAATAACTGTCTTAAACTCGTTCCTATGAGGGCCAATGCATCTGTGATCTTCATTACCGCGTCCCTGGCCAAGCAATTGTTCCACACCCTGCGTATCAAGTATGTCTCTGTGGCAGTCATTTCCGACATCTGAGGGGCAAGCAGCTTGCTTCAGGAGCAAGCCCACACTCGGACAAATGTATGTTATTTGGGAAGACCTGAAAATATGAGCAAGAATCTAGGATGCAGGTGACCCTGAAGAGTGTCATTGGTAGTGGGCACAGTCTGGTCACCAAATAACACTCAAAGATGATTCCAATTTCATGTTCCCAAAAATACTTTTTAGGACATCAAAAGGGGAGAAATCCAAATTCATTTTTAAAAACAAATTTCTATTATAATTGAAAATGCGTTTTTCTCTTTCTGTGTAACTGTGGTATATGTGTACATAATTTATGTATGTCTGTGGCATTTTGCTATATGTATAAAACACTCTCCACCTTATTTCTTTGAGAAGGTTTCTTGCTGGACCTAGGCTAACTGTGGTAAAATGAACAAAAGGTGAATGCTCTTGTTTCAAGAGTATCCAGTATAATTTTTTTAAAAAGTCAGAATTTAAAAGTTGTTAAGTTGAAGTGTCACAGTTTTGAGGAAAATTTCACTTGAAGAAATTGTAGGCAGGATTAAGGGTATCATGCCTGGTTTAAATAGTTTTTAAAAACTGAAAGGGCGTGACATTGAATAAAATCTTGCCATCTGTATCAAGGTAGCCCCTCCTTTTTAAAACTAGCTACGTTGTCCCAAATGAGGCATTTTTCATTATGGACAGAAGGTACCAACAAGGAACCAGTGATCTGAGATTGTAAAGTCCAATCAGCAATTACGACAGCAAGTGAGACCAGGCAGACAGGTGGTACTGGGTCTCCCTGACGTCTTAGGTGCTTTCTGCCTAAGCCCTACTTGCCCAGTCCAGTATGTTCAGTAGGGCTGGATCATTGAGCCTCACACGGCCTGCTCCGTTCTGGACATGAACGAGAACCTAAGATGACCAGAGTAGCTTACCAAGCCTGGCCATGCTCCCCACACTGCCTGACAATGGGTTATGCTTTGGGATCGTTTTCTGGTTTTCCCACTTCAGGGTCTGAACTGGGTTGCATCTTTATAAAGAGTGGTCCATGTGTTTCCTAGGCATAACCATCTGTTTCTGCCCTGCCTTCTAGTGACCAGGAGTCACACTTCTACACTTAACACATAGAATCCACCGTACAGAATCTGCGTATTGTTGGTAAAGCTGGACAGATTAGAAGGTTATACGTGAAATTATACATAAAGTTGATATATAATACACTGAATATCAAGTATGCTGAAATTATAACCCTGACTTCCTATTGATAAGACCTCTAACCAAAAAGTACAACATGAATAGGTAAAATCTACAGCTCAAGAGGTCTTACACTGAGACAAAACATTTAACAGTTAAATGTCATCTAAGAAAACTTAAATCATATTTTTCAAAAAGGTTGAAAAAATTATTTAGACCTGAGAGATAGCTTAGTTGGTAGAGTGTTTGCTGTGTAAGAATGAAACTCTGACTTTGGATCCCCGGAGCCGACATAACTCACAACTGCCTGTAACTCAAGATCCAGGGTTGTGGTGCCTTCTTCCAGTCTCTGTAGGCACTGAACACACACGGTACACAGACATGCAAGCCAAGCACCCATACATATAAAAAAAAATAAATAAATCTTAAAAGGAAAAGAGCTGGATGTGAACCCATAATCTTAGTGTTAGAAACTTAGAGAAAGGAGGGTCGC